TGCTGGATCATATGGTAGCTCTATTTTCAACTTTTTGAGGAACCTCCATACTGTTTTCCAGAGTGGCTGCACCAGCTTGCATTCCCACCAACAGACTTACCTCCATTTTTTAAGGATGGGAGTTCAACTGTCTTTAACTCAAAGTTACTATGAGTAGGGCTGCCTTCAAAGTGCTTCTTCAGGGTCCAGCTCTTAGCATGAACCATCCTGAAGTTTCTGGAACACAGTAAACATGTAGTCAACTGCCATGACGTGACTGGATTATTATGACTTCCTAGCCCCCGCGAGGAAGCCAGGCAGCAGGGTCCACTCACCATCTACTTCTCTTCATGATCATTTAACGCCAACACATTTATTGGTATTTACTACCTTTCTATTCCTGTGCTAAACACTTCATATGCACTATCTCATTTTACCCTCATAAATTTTAAGATAGGCATTATTATCATTGCCAGTGTACAGGGTACAAATGAGGAAACTGAGGCTTCCTTAGAAATCTCTAAGACAAGGAAAAATATTAAAACCGACATCGAAATTCTTCCCAGCCACCGCTGGGGTTTCACAAGGGCACTGGACAGCTCCGTGGTGTGTGAATATTCCGCTCCTCACCTCACATTAAGCGAACCCTGAGAGAGCGTCAAACACAAAGAACCGCATAGAAGTGCACGCACACCTTTCAGACGGATTTAACAACTTTCTAAGGCAAACAGTCTCAGCCTCCTGAACGCCCCGGCGTGGCACTACTGCTCAGCTCAGTGGCGAGTTGACTTTGGCACTAAATGGGAAATCCAGGGTTTAAACTTGCCTCCACAGGAAACCAAAATAGATGATTCAGACAGCCCTGAGCTTTGGGATCAGGACATTTTCTTGGACAGATCTCCCGGCATCACGAGGGAGCCGCTCCTTCCCCACGTGTGTACCTCCAGCGGACGGGTCTGCAGTCGCTGCCAATTTCAACGGTCCCACAGCAGTGTAAGCAGAAAAGAGTTAGGGGTCCCCCGAAAAAGAAAACGGAGACATAGCTTTCCGGCCACAGGAGAAGTCATTTTAGGCCGTCAGCTATTTTTGTGACCTATGTCCTACTGACTCTACTTGCCCTCGCTCCCTTCCTGCAGAACTTCCTCTAGGAGGTGTTAAAATTACAAAGGAATGCAAGAACCTCCGCAGTTTAGGATTTTATGGAAACAAAGGGAATGCAAAAACTAATCGCTTTGACGGGGCCGATAATAGCCCAACCAAATCAGAGGCAATAAATCAATGGTAAAACTCCCAGCGCTGTTTCAAAAGCAAAGACTGATCTCACCAACGTTCTTGGGCTGTTTGACCACTCAAACCCCGGGGGAACTGGTCAGGGAGCTGATGATGCCGACCCTTGCTGGCTCTCAAGACTTCAATCAACTAGGACCTGGACTCTGTTGATTTCGGATGACCTTTGCCCCAGTTCCATACTGAACTTTCTTTTGCGAACCCCCTCATGAATATGCACGTACCCTTAGCTTAAAACTTCCCCAATTTTGTTTTTCGGGGTGACACTACGTTGGGAAATATCCCTGGTGTTCTCCTTTACTCTTGCAAGTAAAACCTTTCCTTTTCTTATGCTTTGGCTTGGTTGTGTCTTTTGACTGGACACCCACCGAGAGGCGACCCCAGTTGGGGGTAACAGCAGTGCCCTGGACACTTTTGCATTGCAAATGGAGCGTTCCCGACGGTCGGATCCGCAGCCCGGTTTTTCTACTTGTCTCTTTTCCCAAAAAGGCAGCCAAGTGCGAATTCCGACCTCGCTGGAAGTCCAGAAGCTCCCCCCCAACCAAAGCACATGGCCTCGGGCAACCGAAGTTCAGGGAGAGTCCCACCCACCAAAAGATGTCCGGGTGCAGTGCCCCCAGGCACACTTGCCCCTGGCTCCCATCTCCTCTCCCTGCACACACCCGTGTCTAACCGAATTCCGACCGCTGTCTTTCATCTCCTACCACACTTGTTCCAGTTTTGCAGTTCTGAAAGTTTCCTGGCCAGCCGCCGCCCCGGCTAAGGCAGCTATGCCGTGCACCCGAATGCAGACAGGCCATGCCCTTCCTTCCAGCATATCTCCGAACTCTCCAAGAACAAGTAGGGTCCGGTAGGCATCGATCGGGACATCTGGCTTTCACTTTCCTCGTAGTGCAAGACTCAGAAGTTATTAAGCAAGAGGAACTCAACAGGAAAAAAGAGTGGGACGGAGATGTTTACTTACCCCAACCCGCAGGTTCCACTACCTAGACAGAGATTGTGGTTGGGGCTGTGCGGCAGAGTTCCCACCGCCTGCATTTAAGGCCGTCCAGGAGAGGGTGGAGTTCCCCCTCCTCCCAGGGGCGGAGCTGCGCGGGCGCGGGCACGGGCGCGGGCGCGTAACTATACCTGCACCAGCTTCCTAACTGGGTACTGGGCGCAAAGATGGTGTGTGGGAGGACCAGCCGCTCAGGCAGGAAGGAGACAAATGCAGGGTCCCTGAGCAGAGCTCAGAGTTTTCTACTTTTTATTTATTTATTTGAGAGAGAGAAAGCGCGCGAGCGTGCACGTGCACGGGGCAGGGGCTGAAGGAGGGAGAGACAGAATCTCAAGCAGACTCCCCACTGAGTTCTGATCCAGCCTGGGACTAATAAGCCTAATATATTACCAGTCATTTCTAAAAATATCTAAAAATATAGCAGCAATTTACATTCCTACCATCAATGTAGTTGAGTTTTTGTTACCTAAAGCCAACATCAAAACTGGTATTATTATTGTTGTATTCACTTTTTGCCAATCTGACCAGTGCAAATGAATTTATGCCCCCCAAGGGATGAGATCTGACTTTATTGAGATTTATACGCTTGTACCTACCTGTATCATTTAGAATGTTGTTTTTTTTTTTCCAAGTTACGTAAGACTCATATTGGCTTAAAAAAATAAGACATTTACTGGTTCATGTGACTGGAAAGTCCAGAAGTAGGATGGGCTTCAGGGTTGGTCTGAATCAAGATCTGGCATATTTCATCCTTACATACAAGGCTTGCTCCCCTCATGCTGACACAATGGCAGCCGTAGCTCTACTAACCTAAAGCAAAGAAAAATATCCATGTCACAAAATTCCTAGCAAGACTCCTCTACCTCTCATTGGTTGAAATGTCTCTAAACCAATCAGTGGCCAATTAAAGACTGAAAAGCTTGGGCCTGGGTTACCTAAACCAATCATGTGTCATCAGGGGTAGGATTCCGGTCTTCTCTTTGCTAGGCTTTCAATTTACAAGGCACTGAGTGAAAGATTCAGAACTCCAAGAGACAGACTTCTCAGCTTTCAACATAAAATAGCACTAAGTAATAATCAGATGTAAGCTGTATAGTATTGTCAGTTTTGCAGGAAAGCTGGTTTGTTTGGTGGCTTGAAAAGCTTTCAACAGAAGAGTTGAAAAAAATCTGGGTGTCTCTGAGAACGTATATTGGATTGTTATGGCTGCCATAACAAAATACCATAGGTTGGGTAGCTTAAACAACAGAAATTTTAAGTTTCTCATGGTTATGGAGGCTGGAAGTCCAGATTAAAGTGTTGGCAAGTTTGGCTTCTCCTGAGCCCAAGCTTCTTGGCTTGCTGATGGCCACCTTCTTTCTGTGTCCTCACGTGGTTTTCTCTGTGCACGCACATCCCTGTATTATTTCTCTTCTTTAAGCCCCACCTAACAGTCTCCATTGAATTAGTCATCTTTTTGAAGGCTGTCTCCAAATACAATCATGTCGATTAGAGCTCACCCATTCATGACCTCATTTAACTTCAATTACCTCTTTAAAGGTCATTTCTCTGGGCATCTGGATGGCTCAGTTGGTTAAGCCAACTGCCTTCAGCTCAGGTCATGATCCCAGGGTCCTGGGATCCAGCCCTACATCAGTCCCTGCTCAGCAGGGAGCCTGCTTCTCCTTCTCCCTCTGCCTCTTCCCTCTGCTTATGCTCTCTCTCTCAAATAAATAAAATATTTTTTTAAAAAAGAATTATATCAGACACTAACCAAGTGCATAGGAGGGTAGGAAGAGGGACTAAGAGGGGAAACCAGGATGAGAGAGTGACATTCCAAGACATACAGTATATTTGTCCAAAATAACATTACTGATAGTTGTTTACAGAGGTCCCATAAGTGTGACCTTTCCTAAATTTGTTCTTACCTACAAGAGGAACCCATCTCACCTATATTGGGAGATAAAATGGAACAGTGAAAAGTGCAGGGCTTTGGAGAATGTTAACTTGGATTCAAATCTCAACCCTCCTACTGACAACTCTGTGATCTTGTCTAATTGATTTCACCTCTTGAACTTCAGATCCCTTAGGCTCTGAGGAAGATAATAGTAATATTTGCTTCCCTGGACTGTTGTGAGGCTTAGAAATTAGGTACTAAGGACTCCTAGTTGGTGCTGCACCGGCCACATTTCACTGTGCTGTGGGAAGAGGCATAATCATAATCATAATCATTCTCTCTCCAAATGTAGTATCTTACATGTATTAAAGGATTCTTTCTTATTTTTTTTTTTTAAAGATTTTATTTATTTATTTGACAGAGAGAGACACCGAGAGAGGGAACACAAGCAGAGAAGTGGGAGAGGGAGAAGCAGGCTTCCCGCCGAGCAGGGAGCCCGATGCAGGGCTCGATCCCAGGACCCTGGGATCATGACCTGAGCTGAAGGCAGACGCTTAACGACTGAGCCACCCAGGCGCCCCTAAAGGATTCTTTCAATTATGAGAATAATATTCTATCCAGTTCTATAATTATTTCACAAGCATTATCTCACCAGATCAATGCAATGGAAGTTGTAGAAAAGAAAGGAAAGAAGGTCTATTTTTAAAGTACATTGCCATAGAAAAGCATCAGAAGTAATTTCCACCAAACAGATAACAATGACTTGCTTTTAACGCTGTACACATCTGTATTATCTGAATTATTTGACGAGATACATTATCTTATTACTTGCATGATTGTATTGTTTTAAGTGAAGTGTTCCCTCAACTTGCTAGATCAGAGCTCTTTGAAACCTAAGGTCAGAGCACTGAATTGAATAAGATTTTGGCTTAGAGCTAAGTAAAGGAAAAATCTTCTTCCTTGATCCTCTAATCCATATTCTAACTGACTCTATGTGATGATGCAACAGCCAAGATTGAGCTTTATCATCATGACAGTTCCTTTCAGTCATTAAGCCTGAGTCACAATGATTGCCTGGGAAAGAGATCCTGAGTGACCCGGCATGGTCACATCTTTTTTTTTTTAAGATTTTATTTATTTATTTGAGAGAGAGAGAGCTCGTGGGAGAGAGAGCATGAGCAGGAGGGAGGGGCAGAGGGAGAGGGAGAAGCAGGCTCCCCACTGAGCATAGAGCCTGATGTAGGACTCAACACAGAGCTCCATCTCAGGACACTGCTCAGGAAGAAACCAGACACCTTTTCTCTTCTGCTGCCATCTGTAGTGAAAGGCTTTCTTCCATGGTTACAAAATGTTTATTGTACCACTGGGTAGCATCTCCACTTTGAGGCAGGAAGAAAGACAAAGGACAAAAGATACATGTCTAGGGGTGCCCGGCTGGCTCAGTTGGTAGAGCACGTGACTCTTGATCTTGGGGTTGTGAGTTTAAGCCCCACACTGGGCTTAGAGCTTACAAAAAAAGATGCATGTCTGTTAAGTTTGTTCCTCTTCATTTTATTTTTTTAAAGATTTTATTTATTTATTTCACAGAGAGAGACAGCGAGAGAGGGAACACAAGCAGGGGGAGTGGGAGAGGGAGAAGCAGGCTTCCCGCCGAGCAGGGAGCCCGATGTGGGGCTCGAAACCAGGACCCTGGGATCATGACCTGAGCCGAAGGCAGACGCTTAACGACTGAGCCACCCAGGTGCCCCTGTCCCTCTTCATTTTAACCAGGAAAACAATGACTTTCCTAAAAGCCCTACCCATTAGATTTCTGCCTATATCTTATTGACCAGAATTGTGTCTCCATCTGCAGAGGGGTCTAGAAAGCAGAGTTCTTTAGCTGGGCACCCTGCTACCGTGAACAAAATTGGGATATGTATGTAGGAAAGATGAAGGGGAAAGTGGATATTGGACAGGCAATCAGCACGGTCTGCCTCTAGATATACCAAGCATGAAATCTTTTTCAAAGTCTTTATATCTGGCTCTCTGCCATTAATTGTACCTGCTTGTTACTTTGGTTACTTTGCAGTATTTCCATTAGATAGTAGAGAAAACCACAAACTCTCTGTGCCCCAAATAGAAAAGGAAATGTTGCAATTGGATGTCATCATGTGGGCCAAATATCTCAGATTAAAAAGAGGGATATAAGGGGCACCTGGGTGGCTCAGTCGTTAAGCGTCTGCCTTCGACTCAGGTCATGATCCCAGGGTCATGGGATCGAGTCCCGCATTGGGCTCCCTGTTCAGCGGGAAGCCTGGTTCTCCTTCTCGCATTCCCCCTGCTTGTGTTCCTGATCTCACTCTCTCTCTCTCTCTCTGTCAAATAAATAAATAAAATATTTAAAAAAAAAAAAAGAGGGACAAAAGAGGGACATAGGTTGTCTTGTGTCCATGGAGCTGGACTGTGGCAAAAGCTTTCTGTCACCCTGCTAAGAAAGGTGTCATGGTTTCTTCACTGTTCATATTTGATTTCGGATCTCAGGGCCAGAGGGTTGAGTTCTTCAAACTCATAATTTATGGTGTATTATCACCGCTGCTCTGCCAAAAATTCTCCGTCAATAATTTATGTGCTTAAAAAAAAGCCCCATTCCCTACTCTTCTCTTCCTGCTACTATAGACAACTGTTGTGATGTGTTTAATGTATAGTTTATCTTTTTTATAAATGTTCTTGCACAGTGTGCACTGGGGGATATCTATTTATTTATTTTGAGATTTAAAAAAAAATATTTTTATTTATTTATTTGAGAGGGAGGGGAGAGAGAGAGAGAGAGCATGAGCGGGGGGAGGGGCAGAGGGAGAAGCAGGCCCCCTGCTGAGCAAGGGGCCTGATGTGGGACCCAATCCCAGGACCCTGGGATCATGACCTGAGCCGAAGGCAGATGCTTAACTGACTGAGCCACCCAGGCTCCCCTGGATTCAGAGACATTTCAAATCTGTTTTAGGTTCTCATTATCATAGAATAAAATCTGACTCAAAGCTTCTTTTGTTTGCTTTAAACCAAAAGAATTTTGGGTGAGGGCAAATTATTTTTACAATGTTGTTGCTATTCAAGTCAAAGTTACTGGTGATATAGAACTCATGAATTATACAGTAACAATTTGGCTTTTTCTTATTATAACATTAAAAATAATACAAG